GAAAGAGTTTAAAGGAAAATGTCTAAGATATCATAAAGGATTATTTGTCATCCAGGCAAAAAAAGAAAGATTAATAACCATCTCATATTGAACGCATAAATCAGGACCTTAAGCCTGATAGTAATGACTTGAGCGAACTTCAGAAGACAGGAGTTTGGCTGCTTATTAGTCACCTTGAAAGATTCCAAGGTATCGATCTGATGTCTTGGAGATGTTTAATAATTACATTGTCTGAGCTAGATACCTGTCTCGCTAGCTTAGATAGACTCATAAATTCAATAATTAATATGATTGCAATCTTTACAAACCCCATTCTGATCGTAGTTTCGAATTATTATTATTGTTATTATTATTATTTCAACATTTGAGATCATGGGTCAGTTGAAGCTAGACCACCAAGGAAGACCTGGAAGCACCGGACGGCCATTCCTTCCCATTGTGGGACTCCTCAGCAGTGCGCATCCACGACCGCGCTTCGCGGGATTTGAACCCAGGATCTATCAGGCTCGCACCAGGTGCTTGACCAACTATGCTACTGAGCCGGCCGGCATCCGACGGTGTTAGTGTCTAACTTCAACTAATCCACGGAATTGAGCGACACATCCACTATTGTCATCAGCGAGTTACTACCTCACAACTGACCCGGTTGAACTCCACTGGTCACTGCTTCTCACTAGAACCCCAGGATATATCTCTTGAAGCCAGTCACTAGTGAGCATATGTTGATTAGTATCAGAAGGGATTGGAATTACTACAATCTCCACAAAACTCCTTCTGATATTATAATTATTAAACTGCATAAAACAATAGGCATAAGTTATTTTATTTTGAAAGAAGATAAACCCTGGAAACTTATAAAGTTTACATAATAGTGATTAGTAAAGAACTCATTTATCTTCATTTATTTACTGAGTTTTTTTTTTAAATATTCACTTAATTTCATAATATCAGTCCGTCAGTCAATTTGTCAGATACAACGTAGGACCAAGCGTACATATACATCGGTTCAAGTTGCCATATCTCATTAACACAACAAGATGAACACCGATTTCATTAAAGGAGTTACTTCAATGTATAAGAGAAAGAGTGTATATAAAAGAACTAGCTCGTAAAAGGAAAGGTATAAAGTAATTTTAATCTGACGATTTAAGGGAACACTAAGAGTGTATACACCTAAGCCAATGTGATCGATTCTGAACCATGTCACTCAAAGTATCTAACCATTAGTTACGATAGTCAAGCGGACCCCGACCAAGTAGTTTGAATATACCAACATGGTTAAGACTAGAAGTTAGTGACTTCAATGACTGATGCGACGTTTTGTTCTGGCCGCCCCTAACTTTCTTCCAATCATCTCCAACACTAATCAGCATTGCACGTCGTGGTACTCGGTGTTCAGGCATACGTAACACGTGACCCAACCATCTCAGTCAATGAAGATCCACAACCTCATCAACTGATTTATCATCATTCTTTAATACTCTACATCTAACCTCACTATTACTCATCCGATAATCCCAGCAGATGCGAGCAATATTTCTAAGAATAATGTAAATATGATTGTTTTTAATAACCATTGTGCATATAAACATAGTCTTATCATTAAATAAATGATATCTATTGTATACACACAATGAATATATTCTGATAGAATATATACTCATCAATCCAAGTTGTCACATCTCATTAGCACAACAAGATGTACATCAAATTTGTAGAAGTAGTTACTTCACTGATATTATAAGGATATAATACAGGAAGAAAGAATGAGTTGGCTTTAACAATGTATATTATAAGTAATATATATATAACACAATTCAATTGAGAGCTTTAAATCATTATAAGTATTTAACAGAATCAAATGTTTCAATAGATTATAGCGGTTTGTTAACATCAGAAATTTATTAACAATTTGGAAACTACTAGCTAAATATACTACTGAATAATATGGTTGTTATCTTCATTGTATATATCATGTATCATTTACCTTTGCTATATCCCATTGCTTCCAAATAATACGATAAATCCTTTATTTATCTCTTTCTATTCATGTCTCACTACTACAATCACGATGTACATACCTATCTACCTACCTACCCACATATCTACCTACCTACCTACCCACTCACCTACCTACCTACCTACCTACATACCTACCTACCCACATACATACATATCTATACATCTACCTACCTAGCACACATTTGATGTAGTTTTATGAGTATTTGATCAAAGAGATTGAAAAATTGTCTAATCCAGGATGAATTTAGGAAGAGAGATAAATTTCACAAGTATAAAATGTCAATAATGAAATGAGTATAAATGATATCCATCTCTTATCTTTGACAAGTATAATCAAATGTCTATGATAGAACGAAAAGAAGAGATAATTAAAGGAATTCATGATGTGATCATATATCAGTAAGATGAATGAATTTTATCTGTTGTTTAGATGAGCTTATAAAAATTTGTCCATAAATGGTGTGACTTTAAGCAGGGCTAGTTATCTCGTGATTGATTCGTCAATCTAAATACGACTTATTCGATCTTAGTACTAAGCTAACGCAATGACGTTCGACCAGTATGAGCAACATACCATCCTTATTGGTCCTTTCTTCGGTTAGCCCGTTCAGTGGAGTTCAGAGCCGTGAATAACAGCTTTCACTGTGCGAACCATTTATTTCAAACATACTTGGTTTATACACAGACAAACCGCATCAAACCATAAACTAACGAATAACATTTATACAAGATCAAGCCAAAAAGTGGCTGTGAACGTAGGAGACGCTAATCAATAAACTGAATATAATTTAAGAGCAGTAAATCGAATAATAAATAGTTTATGGGTCAAAATAAAGCTTACAATAAGAGGAATATAGATATTCATAATCTAGTTACTGAATAGGTGTGCAATGAGAATATGCGTATAATATTAGTCCAATAATAGTTCTCAGAATTTTCAGCAATTTGGAAGACTCTCCTGGTCTCCCACATTGTACGAGTATTTCATGTACCTAAATTAATGGTTACTATGGTTGTCAAAATAGGCATCAGCATCGTGACTTCCGAAGGAACTCGGCTTTTACCATGAGGTGTCATCACTCTTCTAAATGAAGACCTTCTAACTCGCAGGGCAGAGTTTAAAAGGTTTGAATAATTTTTTCTGGTTAGCGTTTTTCAGAGAGAGTTAGTTTTCTACGGGATGAGATTGTTAACCTCATGCCCAACCTTCCTCCTTTGTCCGGGCTTGAGACCGGCATTAACCTCAGAAGGGCTCCAGAAGGAGTTCCTCAGAAGTTACCAGTAATTTAATCTTCATCACCAGGATATAACAATAATCATAAGTGAAGTATTAAGGTGATACTTATAACGATAAAAATCTTAGTTACTATTATTAGAACAAAATATTAATCTAGTATTCTTTGATTTCAATGATGTTCCGAATACATTCTAGACAATAATAAAAACTAACTTCATATTAGCTAGATGATATAATCTATAGAAAACTGTTACTTGAAACAGTCAAGAAATGAGAATTGTTTGAGCGCTCGCCGTACTTCTACAACAACTATGATCATGAGGTCAGATAGTTGGTCAATAGAAATACATGCTATATGTCTTAATCATTTCAGTCGGTGAAGATTAGCTACTTGATCAATCGGCTTGATATACTTAGCACTCTAACTCTAATCTAAGAATGGTTAATTTAATGGTTTTGAAATACACAACCAGTGGCTTGAATATACTTGCGATCAAATATCGGAGACCAACAATTACCCTCTAATTTTAAAGGTCGCATTTCATAGCCATAAATTAAATCAGAGCGAACTTTTATGTCGTATAGTTGTCTTTTAATTGGTAGACATATATCTTCCTTACTCCACAAGTAACTTAAGTTGGCACAATCCAACTTAGCTTTCTAAATTTGTATCGCTATTTCGTCAGAAATCAACCCGTTAAGGGTGATAAAATTTCCAAGATAAGTGAAGTAATCGGCACATTCAACTGATTCATTCCATATGATTGATTCAAGGATTAACAAAAATCAGTCCTGTAGCAAAATTTAGTATTTATGAAGGGAAAATCTCATGTCATATAAGTTTATATAACTGCTTAATGAGGTCAGAAAACTCTGATCGAACAGAACTGTACTATTTGAGCCTCCTGAGTCAATAAGCAAATAAATACTGTTTCGAAGTAGATTGTATTTGTCACATATTAATCTTGTTTGTGGTAGCATTGAAAATCAAGCAGGACTGTAAAACCGTTTTGTTTTATTATGATGATACTAGCCCAGTGTATATCTACAACTTCACCATTGTTTAAATTCACGAACTTCGACTCCTACGGCAAATGTCTAACTAATGGAACCTTTCAGTCAACCAACAGTATAATTCCAAATCCAATCAGCTTGAAATATCATCCAATCCCACTAATTAAAACCAGTTCATTCTTAAAATATATAAGCTGAACAAATTGTAACTTCTAACTGGACATTCAGGAGCATCTCAAAGTAAAGTCACTAATAAGCTAACTAATTTAACTGATTAGTTCTATCGAAAATTGTGCAAAACAAATACACCAAGTCAATGACAAATACCCATCTACTAATTAAACCAACCTCTACAAAACTACAATACTGTTAGTTTTAATGCTAGTGGGATATTATTGTCATTATTATTATTATTATTATTATTATTATTATTATTATTATTATTATTATTATTATTATTATTATTATTATTATTATTATTATTATTATTATTATTATTATTATTATTATGTGTAAATACGTAGTACGTCAGAAATTCTATTTCACTTGGTAAATAATGCATGTGTGTGGGTGTGCGCGCATAGAAACACACATATACCTTTGCTTACACCCTATTGTCATATAATATGAACCAGTGAAATTCTTTCATCCCTAATTTAAAATAATCCAAACTGTTATCTAATTGGTTAGCTCATATCAAACATTTTTTTTCTACCATGAATACAGCCGATATTATTAAGTTCGAAGTTAAATTCGAAGTTGAATATTTTTGTTTTCGGTCAACATTAACCAATAATTCTAATTAATGTTCTCTTCTATCCATTGAATGAACCCTCTATAAACAATTTCTCATAATATAAAGGATATAAATTTTACGTTCACCTTGTATTAGAAGTTTCAAGTTATTGTCATTTAGTTCAAATTGTGTAATCAAATATATTTAGTAAACATTATTTAACTACTTATTAGTAGTTTAAAATGTATCGCTAAAAAGAAACACACACTATCAATTATGTTACCTAATTCATTAGATCAATTATCGGAAAGAACTCAAATTCATGGAACAAATACTATTACTAATGATAATAATGATAATAATCATAATAATAATAACAATAATAATACAAATCAATTCAATGATTTTCGTCTAGGCATTACACAATTATTAAATCATAGTACAATACATGGTTTATCGCATCTATCCAAAGCAACTAATCATATAAATCGTTTCATCTGGTTCATATTATGGTTAATTGGTATGATTGGATTTTTAATTAATTTATCATATATTATTGAACATTATTTATCATATCCAATATTAACTAGTTATATTAATGATTATGAAGCATTTCAATGGCCTGATATTATATTATGTAATGCAATGGCACCATATAATGTCTATGATAAACAATATAATATATTATGGAATAAATATATGAATTTAGCAAGGAATCTATCATTGCATATACCAAATGATTTATTTCTAAATATAGATGATATAGATACAAACGAGATTATAATACAATCATTAATACATTCAACAATATCTTATTGGGAATTCAATATTGGCAATATTGATAATATGTTTCAATTTATTGCAATGGACAATGGTTATCAAGGTATACGTTTATCCGTTGGATTAGATGATAATTTAGTCATGTTACCAATACCATTAAATCAATATTTTTATACACAAATATTACAAAAACGTTATAATGTACCATGTTTTAATTTTCAAGTAAGTATGATATTTGAATAAGTATTTTATATAAACAAAGATATACATAAGCAATGATGGATAGTGGCTAGCAGTGGAATCCAGGACGCGCGTTTCGTCCTGTTTGGGACTCGTCAGCTGGATGTACCTGCATTTCAGAGTTGATGTTCACTCTGGACTCAGTAGCTAAGTGGATAACGCGATGGCGTTTGAAGCGAACGGTACTGAGTTCGAGTCCCGGAGCGAACATCAACTCTGAGATGCAGGTACATTCAGCTGACGAGTCCCAAACAGGACGAAACGCGCGTCCTGGATTCCACTGCTAGCCACTATCCATCTTTGCTTATAATGCTTGTAAATTAAGGCAATATCGAGGCATAGGCACAGTACGCACATATGCCAATAAGAGACTGATCAATTTCAGTCCTAAAACATCAATGGGAAGATTCAAGTAAAACAATATCAAGTGAATTAAAGATATACATATTTTATATTAACACATAGATATTGGTATAAGGAGGTACCAAGTACATATGCACCACACAAATCTCATTTGATATGTGTGAGAGCTATGATACTGGCCGGGTGCCCAGATCGAAGCAAGTGGTTTTCTCAAGAGGCCACACCCGGAGCCTTCGACCCGAAGGTCTGATTCACAAGGCAGGGAAGCATCGTAAACAGATGCAGTCCCATGGTAGTCGGCGACCAATAATTGGTTCATACGCCATTTGTTCCCTTGGGGTACTGGAGCCCATATACACCATTGGCTTGAAATCAGGGTTTTCCGACTTCCGTAAACAACACCCCACCACCACGAGAAGGCAGTGAGTAGGACTTTCTTGGCGTCAGCTATATATGCGTGGCCATGTGGGAGCATTTCGAGAGGGTATGCGAACTCTCCTCACTTTCGGCCGTAACAGGGCATTTGGGGGCGATAGATATTAGTTAGTAATGGAATCGAGTTTGATGAGTGTTTTGTCCTATTTGAGATTCGTCAGTTAGTGGATGTACTTGGATTTTAGAGTTGATGTTCAGAAGCTAAGTGGATAACATGATGGCGTTTGAAGCGAATGGTACTGGTTTCGAGTCTCGAAGTGAACATCAACTCTGAGATGTAGGTACATCCTAGCTGACGAGTACCAAGTAGGAAAATATGCACATCCTCCATTCCATTGCTATTCACCATCCATCTTTGTTTAAAAAGCTTGTGACTGAAGGCTATATAAAAATAATCCGCACCGGATGCACATATGCCAATAAGAGATTGATCGATTGCAGTCTTGAACATCAATGTGAAGATTCAAGTAAAGAATACCACTGAGATTATTTGTTTTGTGTGTGTGTGTGTTTAAGTCATTTCTGTCTATGATACAATATAACAAGTTGGTTAAAGTCATGAACTAATCTAAATTAGACAACTACTGAATACCTGGAAGCACTGAACACCCATTTTTTCCTAATGTAGTATTCTTAATCAGTGTGGAAGTGAGGATCGTACTCAGGACCTTCAGTCTTTTGTGTGCGAACTCTTGACCTCTTGATAAATAAACCAGAATTCAATAGTAGAAGACATACTTAACTTCAACAGACCCACGATATTACGTTAGTTATATTAATGAAAGTGAAACAATGCAATAATACTTTATAATTTGTAAATATATCTCCATTCAATGCCAGTTTGTGATCAGCACAACCTGTTACTAATAGTAATGTATTGACATAGCTTTAAAGCACAAATACATCACCATATGTCATTCATAATTCTAGTCAATTAATAGGTTATCAGTATGAAACTAATGATTACACCGAATATTAATTATTGATGAGTTCCCTTATAGAACTAAAACAATGATCTGTTTGGATTTTCAATTTGAATTTTGAATTGATGGGGGCAAATGAATTACCGATATACAGCATAGTTGTATTTTTAAAAGTTGACGTCATGAGTCAATTGAAGCTAGACCACCATGGAAAAACTGGAAACACTGGACGGCCGTTTCGTCCGAGTGTGAGGCTCCTCAGCAGTGTTCATCCACGATCCCGCCTTGCGAGATTCGAACCCAGGACCTATCGGTCTCGCACGCGAGCGCTTAACCACTAAACCACTGAGCAGGCTTCCAGGTTTTCCATGGTGGTCTAGCTTCAATTAAATCATGAATTCAACTATTGAAATTGCTATACTACCTACAAAACCCCTCTGTGATTATAGTTGTATTTATTAATAACTGTGAAAATTTCGTGGGTTATTTAAAAGATGTCTTATTCCGCTCGTAAATTCTATGGGTTATGTCCACTGGCTTATTAAAGTCGACATTTTCTCCGATTTCTAGTATCTGTTTGATGTTTTAAGGGAGACATTTGAGCTACAATTGATGTAATAGACGTTTATTTACTATACAATTCCCCAATACATTTGTCATGTGGCGTTTTAATTGAGACGGTGTGCTGTCACATAGCTCTACATTAGCTAAAAGTTGATCAGTTGTCTGCTGGTTGGTGAAAGATATGACACGAATGATCTCTGTTTTTAGGCAATCGTATGATGAGTCTGAATCCGGCTTAAAAATAACGTCAGGCACTTGTTCATTAACGTCTTCCAGCATCAATGAGTATACATAGCTAATTTCGTACTCTGACTTGTGATTGCGTTTGTAACAAAAAAGCTTTCTAAGCGTACAAACTAGAGTTTAGTCTTTCAGGATTTCAAGACAAGTAGTGATACAGAGATGGCACCCACGGAAATAAACTTAAATGAAAGGCTTGGTGAATCATCAAGTGACATGATATATCTGTTTTGGATCGCGAACATTGCGAAAATGGCTGAGAAGGTTGAAAAGACAAAGCCATCAAAAGTTCGTGTTCAATTTTAAGTGTCTTATTTCATTGGCCTAAAGGTCTAATCCACAAGGCAGTGGAGCAATCTAAGGAGTTCCAGTCACATAGTAGCAAGTGATCAATAACTAATTCACACGACTCGTGTTCCTCCAGGATCCTAGAACCCATGTACACTACTGATTTGGACCCTTCGTATCCACCAACCTAGTTCGAGCCCCAGGAATTCGTTTTTCGTCCTCTCGATTTCGTAAACAACACCCCTACAGCGAAGACGTAACAGTAACTCCATTGAAAATACATCCATCTTTGGATTTTATGTTTTACAATCACATTAAAGAATGTACATGGACGTTGAGAAGAAAAAAGAATTTTCCAAGAAATCCTGTTGTTCGATAGGAAGAAATCCTTTCAAAAATGATGTTTATACTAATTTTGAGGGATAAATTCTTTTGATAAATTCATAGTGATTGGCTTCAAGATGTATATCCTGGAGTTCTAGTGAGAAGCCATGACCAATGGAGCTAATCCATGTCAAATGGAGACAGGTATCTACTTTACATAATGGATGAATGGTTGCGCAGTCATACATGGATCGATTGAAGTTAGACATTAACACTGTTGTACACTGGTTGGCTCAGTGGTCTTCAGGTTAAGCGTTTGCGCGCGAGACTAAACGTCCTGGGTTCGAATCACATGAGGGGGGGATCGCGGATGCGCGCTGCTGAGGAGCCCCATACTAGGACGAAACGATCAGCCAGTGCTTCTAAGCTCTCCACGGTGGTCTAACCCCCTTTCTGACAATAGAAATGAAAACTTTTTTTCAGATGAATTATGATCACTGATAGGTTGGTTGATAAATGGGAAAATTAGAAAAACGTTTTTGATGGATAAGAGCCTCGAATAAGACACACACTTCATTCTATTCAGAAGTAGTCTAATGGATGTATACATACAGATTGATAGATTAAGCGAGTCCAGAAATATCACAGACATTGATGGGATTTGATTAAACATGTAGTCAATGTCTCAATTTACATGTCATTGTCTAGGTCAAACGAATGATTTGTATATAAACCTAATCTGTTTTGTAAATTATAGCTTTTTAGTGTTATTTGTTATTCTTTTTAGTTTCGTTGGCTGTTGAGCATGTTTATTGAAAGTGTGTGTGTGTGTCTAAATCGGACACCGTGGATATATGCATTCCCGTTCAATTCATCAAAGCGAATAGTTGCTAGTATCCACACCAGTGGATAGTTTTGAGGGGAAATTTCATTAGTTCAAGTCAAATGTGAGATAGTTACCCACTGAAGACAATGGAAGATGGTCACACACTATCATGGAGTGACTGAAGTTAGATTTCTACACCAAAGCAATCAAGAATTTGAGCGTCTGTGATCGAGTCAAAAGGTACTGGGTTCGACCTCCGTGTGTGGGGTTGTGAATGTACACTTCAGCGAGGTCCAATACTAGAACGGAGTAATCGTCCAGTGTCCTCATGTCTTCAATGGTGATTTAACCTAGATTAGTTCGTGATTTCAAAGTTCTGACTAGTAACCTCGTTAACTCGTTAATTGCGTTCCACTGTGCTAATATACATGAGGTGACTACAGTTGATGTACATTTGTCCCAAACCTTTAATTGTTTGAAACTTGATAACTGAGAAACACAAATCATTGGATACTGATTCACTTGTTCAAAAGTTAAGCAGTTACCATGATATCTGAAAGTTCTATGTTCGCTCCCTGGTGGGTTCAAAGATGCTCACTACTGAAGAGTCTAGGATGAAATAAGCATCTGGTTTTTTTCTGGTTTTCAGTGGTTTTCTAGCTAAGATCATTCAATGGTGCAAGTTATGAAAGTATTAAGAATTGTTTAAGTTGATTAAATGATAGACACTAGCTAAATATACTACTGAATAATATGATTGTTATCTTCATTATATATCATGTATCCTTTAGCTTTGCTATATCCCATTGCTTCCAAATAATACGATAAATCCTTTATTTATCTCTTTCTATTCATATCTCACTACTACAATCACGATGTACATACCTATCTACCTACCTACCCACATATCTACCTACCTACCTACCCACTCAACTACCTACCTACCTACCTACCTACATACCTACCTACCCACATACATACATATCTATACATCTACCTACCTAGCACATATTTGATGT